GAGAGAGAGAGAGAGAGAGAGAGAGAGAGAGAGAGAGAGAGAGAGTGAACGAGAGAGCTTCTGTGCGAGGTTACATAGAAGATTTCCCCGGCACCGCTGCCGCTCCCCGTCAACAACTGCCAGCCGATGTGTCCATTCTTAATCAACACTTCCTCGATTAGGAGATGACTTGTCAGGCCTGACGCTTAGTAAACTCTTCCACCCCAAGAAAATATGACACTTCTCACGGCTCCAGGCTCGCGACAGTAAACGCCTACATTGAACCTGATTTTCTGCGGTGCATGCGTTCTTGTTCACTCATCTGTGTGGGTAGGTAGACCACGATTTTGTTCCCCTGAGACGAAATCGTGTTCAGCAACAGGTGTGCCCCCCGTTGACCCGTTGGAGAGGATTCAGAATAGGCCCACATTATCCTCTATGCACCTCTCACTGTATGGATTCTATATTGCTGTGATTCAAACGCCTAAACAATATGGAATACAAAACTCTACTGTGCATACTCCCATTACAATGAACACCTTGACCAAACTGGATTGGGCGCCCGAAAAATCGAGAATGGGGGGGGGGTAGCAGTGCATCCATTTTTTTTATCTGCATGCCCGCTTGGCTCTTCGTCCCGCTGGTGGGCTGATATGTTTTGCCGGGAACACCAGGTGGTCCCGCCTTTTCCGGATAGGCCAATGGAAGGCTTCCTGCACTTCAATGTCGAGCTAGGGCCGATGGCTGCCGCCAGCATGGGGGAGGTGCGTCCTGGTCTGTTTTTGGAGCGCGCAAGTGCTGCTGCCAGAACTCACTCCGCTGCTCCCTTGTCTTAGCATTATTTGTGGAATATCCTTTGGCACCCAGCAGCAGCAGCAGCAGCAGCAGCAGCAGTGTCGAGGCGCTCTTTCTTTTCTGCTGTTTGACTTTCGACTTGTTTTGGTGTGTTTTCTGCTTGTCCGCCGGTACCATAGGCGTAACTTGCTCTTGGCCTGTGGCATTATTTTGTTTGTCCCTCATTCCTTTTGTTGAAGCGGCGGCGTCCGTAGTGCTTGTCGTCATCCGGTGCTGATACATGAAACCCTACCCCCCCCCTCCCCTCCACGCTTATTGTAAGCTTTTTCGAACCAAGCACAGTCGGCTTTGTACTTGTTGTTGTTGTTGTTGTTGTTGTTTTTGTTGTCGTCTTCACATTACAAACCGTTCCGATATATGCTCAGTATCTTCCAACATTCCTACCAATTCAACTGACGCGAACGATTTCCGTGGTCAAAGGCCAGCTACCCAAAGGTCGTCTCCTGCGCGTTGCTTTTCATTCATTCCCTTGCATCAGCAACGCAATTCGCCATTGTCGGTGGAGATCGCGCGGGTGATCGAGATCGGGGTGAGGGACTCACAGGCCCTTGACACAGAAGCGCTTTGCATCATTGGCGGCGAGAAGGTAGGTATCCCCTCTGTCTTCAAACTAGTTTCTAGTTAAGTGATTATCGCATGATATTGATACGGAAGCGCTTTGTATCATTGGCGGCGAGAAGGTGGGCATCCATAATCTTTTCGCTCTCTTGAACTAGTTTGTCCCCTCGTTTTTTTTTTTCGCGAGATATTGATACGGAAGCGCTTTCCTTGATCATACCATAGTTGTCTAATTATTTTGTTTACACGAGATTGGCTGGATAACCGCTATTTATCTTAACTCGATGTACATGGGCATTGGCAACGGTTTTGGAATTTTTCTATCAGTAAACAGTGTTGGGTGCAACATATTATGTTGTGGAAACCCTCGTCAGAGTTCCTTTCTGGCCATGTGCGTGCACGCCCCCCTTGACGACCCCCCCCCTCCCGTCCCTTGTCCCCCTCTCCATGAAAAGGTTTGGCAGCTGCGGTGCGACGTGCACATCCTTGATCACGGGGGGAACTTGATTGACGCCTGCACGCTGGCTACGATGGCCGCGCTCCGACATTTCCGACGACCAGGTGCGCCGGAGAGAAGTGTCATAGGTAGAGAAAGAGGCGAAGTCAGTCCATGCGCTTAGACGCCTGTCGTTGCCTGTAAACGATGTTATACCTTGCAAGAAGTGCGGGTTTGAGAGGTCAAGTCAGTCCTTGGGCTTAGGGTGTCTGTCATTGCCTCTGATGTTGTTGATACAGTGCAAGAAGTACGAGTTTGAGAGGTCAAGTCAGTCCTTGGGCTTAGGGTGTCCGTCATTGCTTCTGATGTTGTTGATACAGTGCAAGAAGTACGAGTTTGAGAGGTGACGTCAGTCCTTGGGCTTAGATGGCTGTCATTGTCTCTGATATTGTTGATACGTTGCAAGAAGCATTGGGGGCGAGACGGATGCACTCCTTGCGCTTCTTGCATGCCTGTCACCGCCTCTGTCGTTGTTGTTTACTGCTGCTCTGCCTCTGATGCTGTAGAGGTAGGGTTGGTATGCACGACGCTGGGAGTTGCGGTGGTCGTCTTTACGGTCGTGTTGGTCTCGGGAGCTTCTGACCACTGTGGTGTCGGGAGAAGAAATATCGCGCTTGGTTGATGCGAAACAACTGCGGGCACGACGTGGTGAACTCAGCTCTCTCAAATGTTCGCTCTTTACTGCTGTCCTCCTCGCCCTTCTCCCTCCCTCCCTCCCTCCCTCCCTCC